GCTCTGTCCTCATCTCCATTACTCTCTCCTGTCTCTCCTCAAGCCTACGGAGCTGCCGGCTTAGATCTGAGTACTCTGATGGCTTATCACATAGCGAGCAGCAGGCTAAGCCGGAGTGATGCGCCCAAAAGACATGATCAAAGCACACCAACTTTCCACCCAGCAATGATGATGGAAGAGCAGGCCCTGCCATGTTATGTTTCTTATTAGGCTGGGGCTGCCAACTGAAAACACAGCCAAGAAGTCAAGGATGAGGCCCTTAAAGATGTGCTCCTGCAATCTTATTTTAACATTACGCTGCCTACTACAGTTAACAGGGTCTAAGTAACAGTCTGACATTTTCACATTAGTAAATGTCTGTTTTGCTCCTCTCATTCTCACATAGATATAGCATAATAATGATTTAACCTATAGCCACATTATCAAAGCTTTTTTTTTTTTCAGCTATAAGCATCCAGTTTTGGACAGGCCTTAAGATCTAAAAACGTTGGTGCAAGTTAAAGCTTATATATTTCCAGCAGCAGGAACATCCAGTTTGTTTGGCATAAACAGAAGAACCTGTGAGATAGCATGAGCAGCCACCACAGCTGAACAGAAAAAGAACACCGCTAGAAAGCTGCAAAAAAGTGTCAAACCACACCACTTGTCATCAAAATATCAATAGAAATTAGTTGAACCTTTCAACTTTAAAGTGGTGCTTCTTCTTACACTCTCAAGTCACCATGTCTATATCACATGCCATCAGTTAGGCCACTTCTTCAGCATGAATTTGGGAACAGCCATAACCCAACATTAGCTGCTCCATGAACTCAACTGTCGCCACATTTTTCTCATGTTCTGACTTTTCTAAAATTGATAGAAAGCAAAATGACTTATTAAAGTTTTAGTGTAGACAACAAACGAAAGCGAGAGACATCTTTTTGGAGTGGCGGGATGCAAATGAACATAAAGTTTCAAACAAAAACGTTTGAACATAAAGAAGGATCACAAACAGTTTGTCATTCTGGGGCAGCAGTACCACCTGGAATGACAAACAAAACAACATGTGAGCATGTCAGGTTATGTCAGAGTAATAACCAAACCTTCTCAGTGGAAACATTCATCAACGCCTGTTTGATAAAAAAAAAAAAAAAATGCTAAAAATGAACGCCACGTCATAAACACACAGAACGGACAGCTGAGAGAAACAGGTGCTGAGGTTTCGCCTGGCAGCCGAGCACAGCTTGTAGCATATGGTTTAGCCCCTGAGGTCTGGATGAAAATGTTTGTAGCTTACCTGCATCATTCCCAAAACAGACAAGTACTGAGCTATCAAGGAAACTTTAAACTGATGTTAAGTTATTACATTTTAAGAGGCTCTTGCACACACTCAAAATGAGAACAGGGAATTGTGTGCCTAAAAAAGAACAACCACTTGGTATTAAATAAAGTATATGAGGAACAAAAATAAGAAACAAATAAGACTTCCACTGAGTCTACCAGCGACACAGTACACATAATTATCTAATTATTTTCTGAATTGACAAAGTGTTGCTTCTTTAAATAATATGTGAACAAAGGTGCAACAAACCAAATGTAAACATCTTGAATAGGTTCAGAGTTTCACTACACTCTTTATTACTACCCTAATAAAGGTGTCAAATCTCAACGCAAACCACACCACAGTGAAATGTCAACACCCCTTAATGTTTTTTTCTTTTATTCCAAGTCCTCTTTATCTTGTTTGAAAAGAGTCCATCAGCTACATGCTAAAATCCACGCTACAATATGTTGATATTACTCTGGGACTGAGAAAAGTATTTTTTCTGGTACCACTACAACATAGCTTCTTGATATACTGTTGCAAAATGTTATGCAGCCCATCTAGCCTAACTCAAACGTAACAGACACTGCATGCACAACAGACCCATTATTTATTAAGATAACAACACTACTTTTATCTGAAACCAACACACCAATACCTTGACTTGATAAAACGAAATGTTTAGGATACTTTGATGTTTTCCAACAATGGACAATCTGTATCCCAATGTTGTACTAAATTCTTGCAACACCAATAGTAAATTCATTTTGTAACTCAAGATAATTGATTGCAGTTGCATGCTCTCTCTCCTTCCATGCAGACGGATCACATTTTTTGTCAGCATCCTTTATTATCCCTTTATTAAGGATAGATGACAGTAGCAGACAGTAATTAATGGCTGCATGAGTTAATGGCCATCCTGAAGCATTTTGCAGTCTCCATAGAGACTGAGAAGCTGCTCAAAGCACACCTGAAGCTGTCCACTCAGTGACCAATCGCATTCCCTGGCATGGAGAACCGTCTGCCCGGGCACACCACAGGGGCCGGGACACTCTAACCTTTACCCTGGAAATATTGTTCTCCTTTCCTTTGTTATCACTTCCATTCATGTAATACAGCACTAATGAGCACACTGTACTCTTCCCCCTTTGTGTTGTGTGAATCAAACATGCAAAAATCACATGACAAATTCATTTACCAGAAAATTCCCTTTATTCATCTGTCACTTGTCTTGCTTTGTGCAAAAAAATGTTTCAAGCGACTGGTTTGAGGGCGTCTTGCATCTGAAATCAAATGATGCCGGCAAATAAATCTGATAGAAACAATACGGCAAATGCAGAACCTTATTCCCACACTGGACCGAAAAGAACTCTCCTTATCATTCAGCTGCAAGCAAGGGTGCACTGTCAGTTTACAGCCCCTTCGTACCCAGCACATTTCGATGTGTGTTCACAAATACTGAGCCGTCAGATGAAAGAGAGGGCCGCTCCACTCAGGGATGGGAGTCCCCACACTGAATGCATGAGTGACTGATCTTAGCAGTTCAACCTCAACTCTCTACAAAGAAGAGCCTTAGCCCCCTGCCTGAAGAGGCCAAACTAGAAACAAGGGCTTTCCAAATAATACAAAAACCCAGATTGGTGTGTTGAGGATCTTGCATCATTACAATGCATACAGCTGCTCTTCCTCAAATTTCAAGCTTTTTCACTTTACAACTCAATTTATTCAGCTGTAGTGTGGGGCTGAGAAAGTAAAGTCATTTTTGTTTGTAGAAGCAGACGCAGGGGACGGCGTTAGGTTGTTCCCATCAGAAACAGCAGAAGTCTGAATGTCTGTGTGTAACAACCACGTCAAACAGCAGGCCGGGAAAAGTCGCAAAGAAAGTTCATCCTGCGTTTTAAAACCTGGGTCAGCATTTGCGAAGGTCCATTTCTGCATAAGTGAGCACACAAACCCCAGTGCCTGTTCAAATAGTCTGCAGCTCTCTCTCAGGCAGCTCATGACAACAGCCCAGCAGCAGCACTGTTTGATCTCCAATGTTTTCCTTAATCTGGGTTGTCAAGGTTCGCTTGTTGGAGGCTGTTTACTTTACTTCTCCTACAAAAAAGTGTTTTTTTCCCCTCAGACAATGACTAATCCAAAGACCAAGAAGGAGGGAGCACTGCCAGCAATAGTTGTTAAAGCTGCAGTTTTCCTTTTGTAAATGTTCAGATGGTTTTAGTCCTGCTGTTGCCAGATGCCGACTTACTGTATAAAATATTAGGGTGATATTCCATTATTCTACGCATTCAGTTCACTCTCAATAGATATACATAATCTTTTTTTATATACAATTGTGTATTTTGTTGAAAATACTAATTCTGTACTAAATCAACAGGAATGTGAGTTGCCTCCACAAGACATTTGTTTATTGTACATGTACATTTATAAGCTGCACAGTAAAATTCATTATCATATTGGTTACTGGTGTGCATTTGTCTGTAATACCACTGTTTTAAAATGTTAATTAAAACAGAAATAAATCAAAAATATTTTGAATATAAGTTGCTTATATATAATTGCTTGATTGTGTTGTTTTTAATGTATTTCTACAATATAAAATATGGTTGTTCAAGTAAATTCCTTTGGACAATTTATTAGGATAAGTAACGTTAGTCCAAAAAACTATTTACTCCCCTTACCCACTATAGCAACAACAGGTGACTGTTAATTGAACAACATTTAAACTCTTTCTTTCCATAAGCGACGAGAAAGTGCTCTGACACTTCAGCGTATTTACAGTTAAGAAAACGGCCAACTGTATCTGTATCTGACTCAATAAAACCACTCTGTTCAAACTTTGAGCAATACAGTTAAACCATGCCAACAACGTTGAATGTTGAGGTGTGACTTTAAATCGTCACCGCTATAATTAAAAACGAATTCACTAAATCCTTTGTGCTAATGAAAAGTTAACCATGAGGTGAATATCCGCTTTAAACGTAACGTTATTGTGTTACAGCCTTATCGCTGAGCAGACAAGCCACGCCAAAACAACAGCCTAGAATAACGCAAATGATGCCAAATAAAAGTCGACCTGTTAAACTGAAGCTATAGACTATTACAGTGTTAATATCTCTAGTTTAGCGCAGTTGTGATGTCTTCCTCCGGGCTTGCGGAGTTTGGAGGACAGCTAGCACGTGGGGAAAAGCTCCTTCCCTGGTCTTACTCCAAAGAAATCACGGCACTCAAACTTCCCTTTCACCGTGTGAAGATAAAAACTTTTACGGCTCTATCCCTCACATGTAACGTTGTAACTGCGGGCTGTTAACGGCTATCGGTAACCAGCACTTTATACCCAGCTTAGGTTATAAAGACGCGTTTCCCCCGGGATCTCGCGAGTAGCCTCAACTAAGTTAGAAACCCAACTTTCCAAAAGAAAGTAGAGGACACAACACGTAGTAGTTACCAAAAACACAGCTGTAACAGCTGCTCGTTACGGAGATATTAAACAGCGCTACCAAATCCGCCAACATGATAATAATACAGGTGTTTGTTTATTTGTTTATTCCGCTAATTGTAACAATTCTAGAAAACAGCAGAAGAAACGAAGGCAAACTCCGTGTTTGTGTACCTATTTGAGTGCAGAAGCGGCAGCAGGTATCAAGACACGAAACAGCAAGGCTAACGTTAACATCATGATAATAGTGAAACTTACCAGACTGGAAAACGCTTTACAGCAGCTAACAGGCGCACGCGGAGGGTGCCGATTTGCTAGCATGAGATAACGAACCCGTGCACGCGAGCTTGTGTACCGAGAACGCGTGCGACAACAAATCACACCGTAAACACCAACAATATATTACTCCGCCCGCCTCGGTGTTGGTGTCGAGGTGGAGGAAGGGGGGGGGGGGGACTAACTAACTAACTTAACTACAAGGAGAAAAAGATAATCTTACCGAGGGCGTCGAAAAAAAGCGAAATGTAGAGTTTCACACTCGCTGCCTCCCAGTCCGCCTGGTAGGGAAAGGCACACGCTCCTTTCTTAATGTTGTTATTAGATTTTAACACGCCGAGAAAAAGAAGGAGGAAAAAAGGAAGAATCGCGGATTTGGTGTTTTTGTTTTGATGTTCCAAGTCCGTGACGTCATATCCACCTGCTTACTGGGTAAACAACGTTCATCGCATCGCAGATCCTTCATAGAAACATCACAGTCAGAAGTACAATTCAGTAGCACTTAGTAGCACTTAGCAGGTCCTTTCTATGGGGAAATGTAATGATATGCATTAGTTTTAGCTGAAAGTGTGACAGGAGAGAGGGGGCTGTCAGAAAAGCTAAAATGTCTAAGCTGACTAATTACAGCTGAGGCAGAATTAACTTCTATTATTTCAGAAAATTCTCCTGTCTTTTTTCTTCTTTTTTGATCTGAGGTTCATCATAACTGTTCCAGAACCTCACTGCAAAAAAAAAAAGGAACAAAAGAAAGGCTTTGACATAATCATCAAAGATGTTTTAATATCTGCTGAGAGGAGTTTTAACTATTGATTGTGCGGTGGTGTTATGGTTTTGAAAATGACAGTGTAGATAACCACTGTGCATCTTTGGTAAGTTTGGTGTGGTTATATTTTCTAACATGTGGGGCCAATTCTTCATAATATTTTGAAGGGGGACATAACTGCATCTAAATTTCAACAAAGTTAAGAATACTTAAATCTTAAGAATCTCTGCCTGCATGGCATATTTGCTTTGTGGTTGAAATGTTTTGCTCACCCCTAAACAGTTTCCCTCAATATGACAGTCACAAGAACTGCAACAACAGTATGACAGTGATTAAAATCTGTTACTTGCCCCTGAAGATGAGAATTATCATGGGCCAGTTCAACAGTCCAGTTAACACGCATTGTAAAGCAACATTAATTTAACCTCAAGAGAAAATATTTAATTTTTTTTGCCCTTGATCAAGGTCTGAAAAGCACAGCTCATTTCGCTATGAACTACATTACATTTATCATGGCTGCATCTGGGTGGAATGCTGCTGGTGAACCCTCTTCATTAAGTCTGTTTCTTAGTAGAGAGCGCCACCCTCTGACCATGCCCTGTCACAGGAAAAATGAGGCATGCGAGTTGATTTTACTTCATATTCTTAATCCTCTATTGTGTCCCTATACTATTTTAGTTTTCTGTAGGATCCATACAACTTCGATGCGTGGCTGTGTTGGCCTGAGGTATGTAGGAATGTTCAAAATCAAAATGAATTACAGACTGAGCTGCAAATAAAAAAAAAAACAATGCTTGGAAACTTTTCAGAGCATAGCATTAACAATCACAACCCCCTTTATTATTATTTTTTTTTTAATGTACCTTCAAAGTTTATTGATATCTTTCAACATAGCCTATTATATTCTATGTTTTATCCAGATTGGGTTACACATGAGCTACTGTAACTGCTCAGTGACTGGCACCAAACACAAATTCTTACAGGAATCCCAAATCACAGTCACTGTGTTGTATCTATTAAAACATGCTTGCTCTACATGGAGCAGTGTAGCCCGTACTGTTGTGCTATGAGCACAGGCTCCAATTCTGCTTTTAATGTGTGATTGATCACTTGGCACAGAAAGATTGTCTTCATCACACTTTAGATATGTCTTCATTGTTAATATTAAACGCACAGTTCTGGGCACACCAACAACACTGACATACAAACACAATATTTCATGTTGCCTACATACCCGCAATACACAAAAAAACTATAAAATTTGGGGAGAAAAACATTTGTAATTTTCGACAATTATGTAACTGGATCATATCCAGAAAATAATCATACAGTAATAGCCATTTAAAATGTTTTTCTGAAAGCATGTCATCAATGGCATGGCAGAGTATGGCATAACAAGTGCCATATTCCTTATGTAGAGATGCATTGTAATGAAAAATGAAAAATTTGACCTTTTGACATCCCTGAGTGATGATCTGGCTGTTTTAGTGGTGAATTCATGATGACAGTCTTCTACTTAATGTAATTTGATCTTTTATTGCATAACTACATTCCCATTATATTCCTAACAGGATTTGCCGTTTTGTTATGATTTGTAAACAGAGCCAATCCTGCAGTCTTTCATAGGCTTACTGCAGTTTTTCAAAAGGTTGTAAACACAATGTCTGATGTAATTAACGAGAAAAATTCAAATACATGTACAGTGTTATGAAGACAATCTAACACATAGCTCTAAGCTTTCTAATTCTTCAGTGGCTTGATCTGCATGTCAATACTGGATCTATGAGCTCAGCGGAGCCCAACAGCCATGTGTCTGGGTCTGAATTTATTATCATGTTTTGTTGGTGTCACACTGGTGATGTGTTGTGTGGATTAAGGCCCTGACTTGATGGGGTGTAGTTACAAATTAATTGAGGATCACTATCAGTTACGTAACAGCCTCTCCACACATGCACATGCACACAACAAAGTAATTAGCTTTCTGTTAATTAGGTAATTAAGCAAATGAATAGGAGCTCCTCTTGATTCCCAAAGGGGGATGGATGGCTTTCATGCAGTGTTTTTCCCTCGCTGCTGGGGGCTGTAGCATTCAACATGTAATGAAAGGGCTTCTGGATACAGATACAGATAATGACCAGTAAAGAACTGTCCAATGAGAGAACAGATACCTTGTGTACCATTCGGCAGTTATAGATACTTAGGTGGTTGATGTAGTGTGGCAATTTTTTACTTTATTTCCAGTCATCAAACAGAAATAAATAACTAAAAAAGATCATCGTTTTATAAGGTTATAAGGTTAAATTGCACCAATTCCACTCTTTAATTCTTTAATTCCTTTACCATGCAGGTAAATCTGAATGAATAATACCTATGTTAAAGGGACTAAATGATTGAATTGTGAAGAATCTTACCGATCTAACGACGTGTAGCATGTCCATATTGAAAAACATTTAAACATTTATATTAGTATGGACAATCTAAACATAAAATCTAAACATTAAACTAGCTCAAGTAGGTGACCTGGTGGGCCTTCAAGAGGTGTTACATACAGAGAACTTCTATAAAAGCCAGACCAGGCTTCTAATTGAGACCTGCGTTTATTTGTAAAAAGGAGAAGCTACACCAGGTCTGTTAAAGGGAAAATTTTCTAATCGTTTTTGTTTTTCAAATTACTAAGCACATAAGCTGTAGATCATAAACTTTCATGGTACTGCATTTAAATCAAAATCACACAACAACATGGTAAAATAAAATGTCACTGACCGGCCGTGTTCCTCATCCAAACTCGAGGCATGGATGATTACCTAGTCAGAGGTAATGGTTAAACGTTATATATGTCCAATAGTCTCAGGCTGACAGGTCAGGAGTCAGGAATCAGGAATAAGGAATAATTAGCTGTCTGCCTGTGAACCTAAACTGTGCCCCCTATTTGGTGGATGACTGATAGGGGCATGTTTACAATCTTACAGTTATCACACAAATTCAGCATTTATTGCGTTTAGAGTGACCCTCCACTCTGCTTGTCAGTATAGAGATGAATCAATATAAAGGAATGAAGGTGTTGTATTTAATTTTAGCATGTCTTACACACATCAATAATTAAAAGTAAATGCATCATTGCATTTAAATGTGGCACAACAAATGCCATCAGTGCCGTCTAATTTTTAACTACCATACTCCATTGTAGTGGACACCATGCACTTCATCAACAATTCAGTATGTATAGTTCTGATAATAATGATGATATAATAATAATAATGCAAGTGATAGTGAAGATAATTTACATCTGCTTAGGCGTGAATGGAAATATAGATCCAATCTCTTTAATGAAAAAAAAAAAGAAAAGGAAGGAAAACGTAACAAAAATCACACTGGTATCTTGTTGCATTTTAAACTTTTTTTTTTTAGATGAAAACTATTTTCTTTTCTATTTGTTTTGTTTGGAATGTTCCTGATGTGTTGGGTTTGTCTCTGTACGGATATAAATAGATTTAATGTCACCTAATCTAGAAAGACTCATGTTAAAAATTATGTATCTTAAAAGTGACTTTTCAATATGTCAAATATACTGAATATTCGTATACAGCCGCATGAAGTATTTTATAATCAGTTTCTTTCTCATCTTGTCATATGAGACTTTTTAGCCTTAGGCCTAAAAATGTCCTGCTGACATGAAGCAATAAAGTATAGTGTGACACAACTGTATATCATATGGTGTGTTGCTTGACATATCATACATCACCGTATATGAACAGTCTTACTTAATAGTATTTCATGGGATTAACTGTTTAATTGTTTTGCACATAATAATCACGTTTTCAACATTGGAATATTTTTTCACAACGTGCACATCAGAAAAGCTCTGTTTCTGTGCAGCCTCGCTCCTCACTAAAAATGTCAACAGCAAGGAGTCAGCAACAAGGAGAAACAAGGGTAAACTAAATAGTTATTTAAAAAGTGTCACTGAAACTAGTAGCTTCAAGTATACCATTTTACACAGTGGTGTGTATGTGTTCCTTAACTATTGTGTTCTTGTACGTTACCTTTCTGGTCATTCTAACAGGGAAGCCCTCCTATCACATATTCTTCACCAAACACATGCACACATGAGGCCAGAAAATCAGCTGGCAGCTTTTTTTTTTTGATCCCAGTGTTTACAGCGAAGGGGTCTGATGTCACTGTTAACATATTAAGTGCTAGCAACAAGCTTTCACCAGCATTCTGGTTTTAGAATTTGAGTAGTGTAAAACCATAACACTAAACTCATTTTATAACAATGCAGGTAATGAACCTAAACACAAACAACTAGCATAGTTTCGACAGCATCATGGAAAGTTTTGATGGTCTTTAAAACACATATTTAGAATATTCAACAGG